GATGGTTTAATTAACACAGACATGTCTTTAGAGTCATCAGCATTAAGTGTAATTCTTTTATTGTACCTAGGTTTGCTGACAATCAATACGCATATAGTATCTGTGCTACAAATTCTGTCAACAAGATGATGAAAGGTATGATATTTTCCTAAGTAATAAAATAGAGATAAATGGGATAAAAGCTTTTGGGCGAATTCTTTAAGAATAACCTGTTTTATGATACATCCACGCAAAAACAGTTTTTCCAGACTTTTGGCAACCTGAAACTTCAGAGTTCTGCTAAATTAAATTAAGTGGTGGAAATTCATTGAATGTCTAGATCATTTTTAGTAAGATAAAATACTGAAATATTAATAGCTAAAGAAGTCTATGTTTACCTATTTTTGACCGCTTATTACAGAGAAACTAAATACGTTTGAAATGATTAATAAATATATTTTGCACTTTATTGAAAGATTGTAAAATGAAATGGCATGTATTTCTAGAAATTAACTTTTAAAAAGGGACTCTTGAGAAAAGAGTCTCATGCGTGGTCAAGACTGACTAAGATTAGATTGAATTTAGTTAAATAAATTGATTTCAGTATTAAAGGTGAAACGATACAAAACTAGAACTTGTTTTCTCCTCTGTTGTGAGGACAGAGTTTTCTTGAAATATTAATCTGCTTTTCATAGCAAGTAGTAAAGTTTCCTTACCAGTAACTTTCTTCACTTGACTTTGAAATCTTTCATTGTCGCTTTGGTTAAGTGGATAAGCGTTATTTCACAGTCACTTATGATCCTACTTGGCCAAACATTTAAAACCTTTGATATCTTTGACAAACTTTCTCAAATCAAGTTCTAAATGAAGTTCTTTTGACTTCTAGCTGACTTTGAGATGCTTCAGAGAGCACCTGAACATCTCAAAGAGAGATACTAAACTAATTAGAATTATTTGATGTATTAAACAAGAAACATTGCGACATGAGTAACAATGAGTCTTCTTAAGTTGTATAGGTAAATATTACTAACATAAATGTTCTAGAAATTATCTGAAGTTCCAAAATTTGAAATGTCCTGGTATGTTGTCAGTCATAATTCTAGTTATGATCTTGGAATACTGTCCGTTACAGAAATAGCCAGATTTCCTTGACAGTTGCATTGTATTCAGGTCTTTAAATATGTTTTTAACATCTTTTGTCATTTATAGACTGTTATTGTCTTACTCTGATGCTTTTCAAAAATGCTTATAGACGACTTGCTTTTATGCTCCAAAACTAAATTAGACTCAGCAGCAAAAGGGCGTTCCACCTCATACGAGGGTTATTTCAGAAACAGCTCTCTCACATAAGGCTACTGAAGAAATAGTAATGATCTCTTTTAACAATTTGTGCCCGACACTCAGTTGAGTCTCTTCTAAATTCTGACTACACTCAGCACAGTTCTGTAGCCAACTAACTTCATATGAATTACTGTTGCTTTCTGCACCGAATACTACCTTGATTAATGTAATAACACTAACCCTGCAATTTTGCTTCCAGCACCCCAGGAAGAAAACAACCAGGACTACATTTTATTAACAGGTTATCTCCTGGAATGACTTGCAAGAAGCTGCTATTGATAAGGCTGATCTAATTTAATTTACAGATGGATCCTACTTCAGGGATGAATAGGGACATTACCGAGCTGAAAATGCAAAGCGTCCACAATGGACATAAGTGAAAGCTTTTATTCACCAGAAACAAAGTCAGCACAACAAACTAAATTAATCGCTTTAACCTGAGCTTGTCAACTAGCAGAAGACCAGGTAACAGATACACTGACAGCTGCTATGCTTGTAGAGTGGCACACAATTTTGGATGCTATGAAAACAATGAGAATTTTAACCTCTTCAGGACAACCTATTAAAAAAATAGAAGACAAGTGGCAGTGTTATTAATCATTATACCACTGCCAAGACAGTTATCAATGATTAAAATCTCAGGGATTCCAAATCTGACACTGTGGAAGCTGAAGGAAATCAGTTCGCTGATGCCACAGCCAAGCAGTCAGCTTTAAATCTTCATCCTGCCCAGCTTTGAGAGTGTCCACTGCTCTCTGTTAGCCCTGCTAACTCAATACAAGATTTCTTTCTACAGGCTCAAGAAATCTCCACTAAAGAAGAGAAACAAAAATGGCAGCAGAAAGGAGGAATTTTGACCCCACCACACAAGTAGGGTTTAGACCTGATAAAACAAAACAAAATGAAACTCATGGTGTCTACTGAAGCCCAATTGCCATTACGCCAGCAGGCACATTCTTTAACCCACTGGGAATCTGAGAAAATGGTTTTATGGGGAAAACAGTATTTTGGAAACTTTCACCCATGATGGTTCAAAGAAAATATAATATTGACAGTGTCTTATTGAGACACTTAGAAAAATCGGTAGCTACTTTTACAGTGAGCTTCTAGGAGATGAAAAGGATCATGAATTACAACCTAGAGATTTTGTTTATTGGAAAGGACATCAAAGAAAAGATTCTTTGCAGCCACAATGGAAAGAAATTTATTAGACATTACTAACTAATGCATGCATAGCCAAACTGAAAAACATTGATTCCTGAATTCACACCTCTCATCTTAAAAAGGGCCCAACATCTGAATGGACCTTGAACCTCTGTGTCTAGCACTTGGCTTTAACTAAGACAAGCATCACCAAGCTAGGACAATAAAAAGATGACAACAGTAGCAGACAACTGGCCCAAGAGTCCAGACCAGACCTGTAAGACTCATCCTAGGAGTTCAGTTGTACTGTTTGCCAAATGTCTATCAAAATCAAAAGTTACTGTTGTATTTCAAGCTATGTTTTTGCCTCAATGTTTAGGATGGAAAGAAAGCTTTTTAGTAACACTGTGACAAAGTATAGCTACTGGAGGCAATTTAACTGATTGTTGGATTTGTCATCAAATTTCTCAGTCAGTACAGTTGATAGAAGCCCCTTATAATTCTTGTCACTGACTTTTCAGATGTTTCTATAATCTGCAAAATGTTTCCCCATCAGCACAGACCTCCATGATTATTTACTACATTCAATTAACTTACTCAGTTCTAAAGTTTCTATAATGAGAAAGCAATGTTGCCAAACCAATGACTCTTGATTTTTAAAACTGCTTTGCAGGGGAAAACTTATGCTATAATCCAGATAATGTGCTTTCATACCAGATGAGTCCTCTAATATAACCAACTAATGACCTGCGTGTAAAGTCAAATTTCTGCATAGAAGAACCTCCTTTCTAGTCTGAATGAAATGTTGGGTAAATGGTTCAGGTCTGGGGATTCATGGCTTAAATCTCTGCTTCTGACTTTGTTATTGTTGGCTGTGTTGATTGTGTTCTAGATCATTTAGAGAGTAATAATCTCTTGTGCCTCTTCATGTCAAAACTCCACCTAAAATAATGGTGTCTGAATGACTTGAAACTATTGATCACATCTATAGCTCCAAACAGAATAACAGGCACGCACGATGCACACACAAGTTAAAATTAGCATGAATCAGATTGGTCAACCTAGAACTGACTATCAGTCCTTGCTAAGCATTCTACTGTCTTAATCCTCTAAACAAAAAGAAAGAACTGGACTGTTAAGACTTGGCACTGGGGGATATGATGGGTCCAGGGCAGGTGAGCAACCACCCTGGCATGGTGTGGGTGGAAACCAAATATTCACTCACTTAATGCTTTCTATCGAAAGATTAATGATCAAAAAGGGGGAAATGATGAAATAAAAATTTTATTTTAAGGTAGGACAAGAAAAAATTTAACCGTAAAATTCTCCCTCTGTGTTTGTTTGAGCCTTCTGCCTCCCTCTCTAATGTGCACTGTGCATCTGTGTTATACATTATGCAGAACTTCTCAAACATGGGAGTGCCTCCTGGATCATAAAGACCACTTTTCTTTCTTCTGACACTAGCAATGTAACTTCTTAAAAGAATAGCGTTCTTTCCCAGTTCTTAGGGTGCCATGGTGACTTGGTACTTGTTTTGTTCATGTTTACCTGGACCATGTGTCCTTGGTCAGCTTTATGTAAATATCAGTGTGTTATTTTGATAAATGATCCTTTTGTCTTGAAAATGTACATGACTGTACATTTGACTTCTAACTGGCAGAACCATTCTCAGAGCTTTCTGAGAATTTGCTTCTTGGGTTATAGTCCTCAGTTTGGCTCAAATAAAATTCCCTTTTTTTCTTCTTGACTTGATAGTTAATTGAATTTTCATTGATATCCCTTATCCCCAAATTGCTTTTTGCCAAGGAGGGAGATGTGGAAGAGACCTGCAGTCCTTTAACCCAAACTTGGCTATCCCTTTGCCCTTTACCTTTCCCAGTACAATCTTCTGTTCCCATGTCTGCGGGGGCAGTGGGTAAGGTGGATGATGGCAATGAAGCCATGGGAGAAGGGAGAATGCGGCAGCCAGCGAGAGTGCGATGCTGGGAGACATGAAAGATGCTCTCTCCTCCTCACTGCTTGCCTCCAGGACCCAGAAAACAGCAGCTACCATCTCACTGCCCCTTTTCTACCTTGCTCCCAAGGCAGTTTGTGCCCTGGAGTGACTCCCTCTGAGCTCTTGCTCTTCGCTTTCTGGCTCCCTCCCTCTTATGTCTTTGTTTCTTCTGACCCCTCACTCCGTGTTCATCTCCCTGCTTCCCGCACTTCCCAGTCAGCCCCTGCTTGGCTCTTCCCCGATAGCCCGACAGACATACCTGCGCGCTCTGCTCTGGTTTCGCCTCTGCTGCCAGCCTTGGTCTTTGACTCCTTCTTGAGCTTAATGGCTCTACTGGACTCCGCCCTAGAGGGAGGGACAGGCTGCAGTATGTGCTGACCAAGGTGGTGACCTGCAGGTCAGGAGGTTCCACACTGGATGGGACAGGAAATTGCTGGCAACCGTAGCCCAGAGGGCAGAGGGCTCCTGGTATCCAAGTACCCAAGTTTAGAAATTCCCCGTCATTTCCCATGTCAGCACCCAGGGTTCACTTCTGTTTTCACTTCTCTTTCATTGTTTCACTGTTTCACTGTTTCACTTCTGTTTTCCCTAATAACGGGTGTTATTAGGGAAAACATTCCTTCTGCCACAGTGGCATCTTCCACAAGTGTTGTCTGTGCCATAGTCTGTTAAAGTAGGTGGTGAGTTTCAGAGGCCAGAGCTAAGGATGAGGGGAAATTTGCTGCAAGAAGTCTCACCTGAAGCAAATATATGGACAAAGACAGAGGCTGGTGGTGACTGACATCAACTTCAAAAACAGAGAATGTGACCCATGTGTAAATGGAGAACCAGAGACGGAAGAGTTCGGTAGAGAGAAGCCACACACACGCTCACCCGTGCACACACGTGCACAGGTACCTAAGAAAGGCAAGAGAGAGACCTTATATGGCCAGTGATGAAAATAACGTCCATGAACTGAGGTACACGCTTGACTCAATGCCGCGGTGGATACCTGTAAATAAATGAAAGAGACATCTGAGAAGAAAGGATGGGTGGCTTCAGGGCATCACTGCAGGGTAGAGGCGGCCTTGGGAGCAGGAACGACTGCAGGGCTCCCCCCTGGAGGAAGAAGGATGGTGAGGGCAGGGAGGGAGGGAGGGGGTACATGGACAGATTTCACTTCTTTATTTGAAGGAGTACACAAAACGCACCTAGAAAGATCGTATTACAAGGCAGCACAGAATAAGTGCCACTCGAGTTATGCCCGAGGGCAAGTCCTGCAGGATACAGAAGCTTCTCAAGGCCTGGGGTGCTGTTTGGGTTCCTCTGTGTTAGACGTCACAGTGTGCCACACACTGGGTAATTTAAAACAAGAGATGTGTACTCTCTCACAGTTCTGGAGGTGGGCAGTCTGGAATCAAGGTGCTGGCAGGGCCAGGCTTCTTCTGGAACCTCTAGGGGAGGACCCTTCCTTGCCTCTTGCAGCTTCTGGTGTTGCCAGCAATCCTTGGCATCCCTTGGCTCCTTGGCTGGTAGACACACCACTCCAGTCTCTGCCCCGATGGCCCCCTGGGCCCCCCTGTGTGCCTGTGTCTCCCCTCTTCTTATAAGGACACCAGTCATTGAATTAAGGGCCCACCCTACTCCAGTATGACTTCATTTTTAGATAATTAAACCTGTAATGATCTTATTTCCAAATAAGGGCACGTTCTGAGGTCCCAGGAAGAACAAGAATTTAGACTCTATCCACCCAGCACACTGTCTTCACCTGCCCCAACGTGCAGATGCCTGGTCCAGAGGAGAGCTGAGTGGTGTCTTGGGATGTGCGAGGGACGGAGGAGGAAGATGTTCTAGGCTGGGGACAGGTAGGAGCAGAGCCGCAGAGCTGAGGTAGGTAGTGGGTTCCCAGGACGCAGAGGAGGGTGGGAGTCCTGGGCCAAGTCTGCTGTCGAGGAAGGCGGAGGTGGGGGCGTCCGGGAAGAGGCGGTTATAACCAGGAGGCCCTTGTGCACTTCTCCAGAAAAGTGGGATGAAGGGGAGGGACTTGAGGGAATGCCATGGAGACCAGGGAGAAAGACGTCTTTAAGAACCACCCTGAGGAAAGTGAGATGAAAGGACCCTCAGGCAGAAACGCTGGGTGAGGCTGCGGCTGCCGGCACAGGTGGAGGGAAGTGAGGTGTGGAATTCTGCAATTTGGAATCTGCTGCCTTGCCTCCTGCTCTTTGCCCCAGCTCAGCACAGTCTCTGTCTGGCTGCTGGTCCCTCCTGTACATGACCTTGATTTCGGAGGTGAGGACCTTGATTTATGATTTCCCTCCTTTTAGAGTTAATGATTGGTGACAATTCCAGACAGCACTTGAGCATAGACCGTGTTCTGGGCCGCCTGCCTCCCTTGAAGGCGCAGAAGCAGTGGTCCTGGGGATGACGATGCCGTCGGGGACAGGCTGTTCGGTCTCGGGGAGGGGAGCGTACATGTGAAGGCGGATTTGGTGTCCGGAGATCGCAGCTCACTGCTTCCTCATGGCTAACGCTTAGTATTTTGCTTTCAGAAAGCCGCAACACATCAGAGATCATTGGAGATAATCTAGAGAGCGTGATTGTTTCCATGGAACCCCAGGAAAGAAAGAGTTCCCCAGGTGCCTGCGCCAGCAAAAGCGCCCGATCAGCTCTCTAGGCTAGTGACGCCTCGGTCACAGCCGTCCTCCCTGACTAGGGAAGGCTGGCTCGCAAAGGGAAACCTCTACCACTGTTATCAGGAGGGTCTGGCACTACTGATATTTTGAGCCTGCTAATTCTTTGTTATGCGGCTGTCCTGTGCATCACAAGATGTTTAACAGCATCCCTGGCCTCTACTCACTAGATGCCAGTGGCACCCTAACCCTCCATCCCCTGCCTCCAGTTGTGACAACTAAAACTGTCTTCAAACATTGATAAATCTCTCCTGAGGGGCAAAGCTGCCATCCTGTTGCGAACCATCGATCCATATTTAAACCCCCGTGATTTGTACCTGGAAATTACGACAGCGCCCAGACCCCTGACTCTCCTCTGGAACCTCTCCCATCTGTTCTTCATGGTTTTGCAAGGACACGAATCTGATCGTGGCCCCTTCCCTGCTTTGATGGGGTCTTACTGCCGATTGGGTAACACTTATACTATTTGTTGGCATTAAACACCCCTTGAGGCCCAGCCCTAATCTTCCTTTTGTTCTCGGAATACCCTCTCACCTCCAGTTTGCCATCGCTCGGTCCCGTGCTCCAGCCATTCCGAATCAGGCTGAACTGAAGGGGCCTCCGGGCCTTGGCCCATGCCGTTCCCTGGTCTGAAAGCTCTCTCACTCTCCTCATTCACTGACTGAGCTCTTTCTTTCAAGGGTCAATGCCAAGGCCCCTCTTTCAACCCTTCTCCCCCAGCAGCCCCCCCCCCATGGCATTCTCACACTGCTTTGTAACCCTCTGTTCACAGGTCTGTCTCTTCTAAATGCTTCTTCGAGGTCAGGGACACTTGTCTTAGTTTCTTCAAGTATACAGAGACCAATACACGGCCTGGTGTACAGCGGGGGCTCCTGTTCTGTTTTCAGAGCCAATAGATGAACAGATCATGTGGAAAAGGGGCATAGAAGAGATGTTAGGAGCCCAGAAAGTCAGAAAAGCTTTGATGAATTGCTGTGTGGCACTTTAAGAAAAAAACGTGCTCCATGGTGGGGTTTCAAGTAGATTACGATTCTAGTTTTATTGAGATGTAATTGATGTACAACAGTGTGTAACTTTAAGGTGTAGAATAAGTTGACTTGATACACTTACATAGTGCAGAATGATTGCCCTGCAGTGTTAGCGAAGGCCTCTACCATGTCGCATAATCTCCATTTCTTTTTTGTAGTGAGAACATCTCAGATCTCTTAGCAACCTTCATGTGTGTGACATGCCACGCTGCCCACGTGGTCCCCAGAATTCATCCATCTTTTAACTGGAGATGCGCACTCTTGGACCAGCATCTCCCCATTCCCCCCATGCCCCAGCCCCTGACAACCACTCTAAATTTCTACCAGTTTGGATTTTTAATTTTCTTCCTAACAGTGAGATCGTATGGTACTTGTCTTTCTCTGTCAGGCGTAGTTCACTTGGCAAAATGTCCTCAAGGTTCACCTGTGATGTCGCAAATGGCAGGATTTCCTTCTTCCTCGTGGCTGAGTAATACTCCAGTGTCGAAACCAGCACCGCATTTTCCTTATCCATTCATCCTTTGTTGGACCCTCAGGTCATGCCCGTAGTTTGGCTACTGGAAATAGTACTGCAGTGAACATGGAAGTACAGGCCCTGTTTTCATTTCCTTTGAAAACTTACGTAGAGGCGGATTTGCTGGATCACACAGTGGTTCTAGTTTTAATTTTTTGTGGGATCTCCATACTGTTTTCAATAGTGGCTGCATCAACTTTCATTCCCACCAACACATTCTTGCCAACACTTCTCAGCTTGTCTTTTTGAGTCTAGTCGTTCTAACAGGTGTGAGGTGGCATCTTACTGTGGTTTTGATTTGAATTTCCCTGATGACTCGTGATGCTGAGCATCTTTTCACGTCCCCGTTGGCCATCTGTATATCTTCTTTGGAGAAAATGTCTGTACCGTTTCTCTGCCAATTTCTCAGTCAGATTATTTGTTTTTGTTTTGTTGTTGAGTTGTATGAGTTCTTTGCATATTTTATATATTGACCCCTTCTCAGATACATGATTTGCAAATATTTTCTCCTCTTCTGTAAGTTGCCTTTTCACTTTGTTTCTTTTGCTGTGCAGAAACCTCTCATTTGATGTAGTCCCTCAACCGTATTAACATGGTCACATAGAAGGGGTCTGGGGTTGTTGATTGGAGGGGGCCCCTTGGGACAAGGACAGCTGAGATGGTGTGAATCAGCTCCGGCTTCAAGGGTGTGTGACCTGTATGGTCTCCCAGACCCACACTCAGAAGTTGTCTGCAGTTGGTTTAATGCTCTCCTATTGCTGTCTCAAAGTTCTTAATTTTTCAAAGAGGGACCTCACGATTTCATTTTATACTGGGCTTTGCAATCCCTGTAGCTGGTCCTGGCTTGATAAGGACAAGATTTAGACCTGGCTTTAGAAGGCCAAGGAGGCGCAGGGCAGGGAGACAGGTTGGAGGACTGTCAGGCTAGCCCCCTGCAGGCAATGAAGGTAGATGAACACGGCTGATAAGATGAAGGGGTGAGGCTGAACTGCAGAGGGATCCAGGTCAGGTGTCAGGAAGAGAGGCTCCAGGAAGATTGGTGAGTGCAGCAAAAATGTAACAGTTAACTGAGGTCAAAGTCTCAGATGCCCAGTTCCAGACTTAACCCTTGCTGACTCCTCTTCCTGACTCTTACTCTTACCATTACTCTTTGAGCTCCATTCTTACACAGCTCCCCATTTGCTGAAGGAAGGAGTGCTGGACCAAGGC